ACACACACACACACACACACACACACACACACACACACACACACACACACACACACACACAGAGACCACGCATTCACACACACACACATACACGCACATACACGCATACACACACACGTACGCAGACTCACACATGCAAGCACACACACGCACAGACAACGCGTGCCCACACACACACACGGGTATACACAGGCAGACACACACCTTTACGTAGACACACACATACATGCATAGCTAACTCGTACACACACGCACACACACACACTGACGTAGACACACACATTCATGTAAAGCTAACGCGTACACAGACACATGCACACACACTGACGTAGACACACACATTCATGTAAAGCTAACGCGTACACAGACACACGCACACGCGCACACACACACGCAGACACACACATACACGCACAGATAACGCGTACACAGACACACGTACACGCACACACACACGCAGACACACACATACACGCACAGATAACGCGTACACAGACACACGCACATGCATACACACACGCAGACACACACACTTGTGTAGACACACGCATACATTCAAAGCTAACTCGTACGCAGACACACGCACGCGCACACACACGCAGACACACACATATACGCACAGATAACGCGTACACATACACACGCATACACACACACGCACACACGCAGACCCACACATACACGCACACACCCACACACACGTGCGCGCAAATAAACAACCTCCTACACACAGCAAGTGTACCTCTCTTTCTGCCTCATATGTATGTATGTGTATTTTTGGCAGCAACCTTTCTTTCAGATAGGTTTCATTAAATATGGCATGCACGGAAAATTTGATTATTTTTTATTAAGCTCTTCCATTATTCTTATATGGGGTAAATTAAGAGAGTGTCAAAATTGCCCCTTTGTGTCCATTGTCTCAAGCGATTTCGGCCAATCCTTTTGCCATTTTCAAGAGGTTTTCTAATGGTTGTTAATTTATTTCTACGGTTGTCGTTTAAGATGTAATTGTGTGATATCTGGCTATATTTCCGAGACGAGGCATTGTAATTATCTATACTATTTAAATCGTCCAGACTGTTGTCAGCGTGGTTTTTGCCATATTCACGACATTTCGACCGTTGTAAGCTCCGGCCTTCTTCAGGGTTTTTCTATATTTCTAAGATGAGTTATTGTAATTATTTACACTATTTATATTGTTCAGACAGTGGTTCGCATCTTTATTGCCATATTCATGACGTTTCGGCCGTCTTAAGTGCAGGAGCGTACAGCGGACGAAAACGTCGTAAATATGACAATTCATCAATATATATATATATATATATAAATTTTATTGAATTTTGCTAGTATTTTTAATTTTTTTCCCGTTTGGTGTGGGTAAAGATTAGTAAATTGCATATATATATATATATATATATATATATATATATATATATATATATGTGTGTGTGTGTGTGTGTGTGTATGTGTGTGCGCGTGCGTGTGTATGTATATATATATATATACACTATATGCTGGGTGCGATGGATGAATTGTCGTCTACACGACGCGGAAATGAAAATAACTCTGACATCTCATTTTAACAGATATATTTTCCAAAATGTTATTAAAATATCTTGAAATACTCAACAGTAAATTTATTCAATAAAATCATCATTGGCTCCATCTACGGCCTCCAGACGACTTGGGAATCAACACTTCTGGGCGGTCTCCTTGTTTAAGTTGGCGAATGCTGCCATAATCCTTGACTTCAGTTCATCTTTGGTCTTACAATGAGTTTTGTTAGTCTTTCGCTCAACTGTGTCCCACATATAATACGCATGGGGTTTGCAGTACGGTGACCAGATGTAAGGGACGATGTGGTTGCAGAAATTGTCTGACAGTTATTTCGGGGTTCTCCTGCTTGCGTGTCATGATGCAGAATCCTGTTGCCAGACATAGGGTTTTCCAGCAGCAACCTTCTTGACCCAGGGCAGCACTACCTCCTCAACTTTATGTAGACCTCTGAGTCTGAGGCCCTGTGGGAAGATTAATGGAAGCATAATGTCGCCATCACTAGTTATCACGCCAAACATCTACGTAGTCACCATTAAACTCATTCAATTCTTTTCAAAACCTCAGATTGATACCCAAATACTTTGAAATGTTCTTATTCGAGCTCCTGGTGCGAATGCTAAGCAGTATCGCATGCCGTATGAAAATTTCTGGGGGAGCCAATTGCGTCATTGTGCTCTTTTTTTTCTTACAGACGATGACGAACTGACCCTATTATATTGTGCAGACGACAAAATCAAAAAATAAACATCGCGCATGCGCGAAATTAAAAATATAAAATGGCGGCAATTTACCCATCGCAACCTCTCTCTCTCTCTCTCTCTATATATATATATATATATATATATATAATTTCTAAGGAATTAAAGAATTGTATCTTTAATCCAACATTATTAGTGAATACACGTATTTGATTAGACTCCTCGTTTTTTTCTTTCATTAAGCAGTGTGAATTATATCTACCCGATCTGTGCAATCGAGACGCGCAATAATGTGTTCTCTGTTAGGGTTCGAGCCTGCGTCCGACATTTTAGAACCAACCCCTTTACTAAAAAGAGGGGGGCGGGTTCTAATCCTGCCGTAAGGAAGATTTTAAGTTTATTAAAACTTTCAAATGCTTAGCCCGTTAGAGTTAATTCAGACTTGAATAATAATAATAATAATAATAATAATAATAATAATAATAATGTGACACATAAGGATATCACCAATTCTAGTTGTAGTTGAAGCCTCCAGACTGATTGAAAAAGGTTCGGATAGACTCATTGAAGAGATTCCTCATAGCCCAAGCCTTAAAGAAATACAAAATATTGTTTACACAAATACAGCTAAGCCTTATGAAGCTCGTTAGCTATGTAAAATGTCTGTGATCTTGTTTTTTTTTTCCAAATATACTCAGTTGGAAATGTCATGATGCCATTTCTGACCTTTGGTCTCTGGTTGGGATCCGAAAAGAAATGAGTATACACCAGAAATCAAAGAAAATATAATAATAATAATAATAATAATAATAATAATAATAATAATAATAACCTCAAAAATGTGGCACATGAGAACATCAAAAATTCCTGCAGTAGTTGGAGCCCTCAGATTGGTTGGAAAAGATTCCAATAGATTCATTGAATGGATTCCAGGAAGCCCATGCCTTAAAGAAATATGAAAAATGCTTTCAAGAGAACAGCCTACACCTTACGAAGAGATTTATCTATGTAAAATATATGTGTGTGTGTGTTTTTTTTTAAATGCTCAGTGGAAAATGTCGTGATGCTATTTCTGACTTTAGCTCTCTGGACGGGACCCGGAAAGAAATGATTATACACTAGAAATCAAGGAAAATATAATAATAATAATATAATAATAATAATAATAATAATTTTTTTGTTAGTGGAAAGTGTCATGATGCCATTTCTAACCTTAGGTCCCTAAGGGAGGAAAAAAAAAAAATGTAAACGCCAGAAATCAAAGAAAATAAAAATAATATTAATAATAAACTGGGCGCCTAATCAAATGCGTGCATTCATTATAATAACGTTGAGAGTAATATATATATATATATATATATATATATATATATATATATATATATATATATATATATATATATTTAAAATAAAAACAGACCACTTTAAGGTACCATTATAATAATTTATTTCACCAGAGTCCTGGTGAAATAAATTATTATAATGGGCTTAAAGTGGTCTGTTTTTTTTTTAAATATTAGCTCTAGATTTACAATGAACTTTCAGGATTTCATCCTCGTTGGGATGATACGGATTACCAAGTTCTTCATAATAACTTTTTATATATATATATATATATATATATTATATATATATATATATTATATATATATATATATATATATATATATATATATATATATATATATATATATATATATATATTTATTTTAATTCTTACAGTTGTTATAAAAAAAGAATGTTTCAGCAAGACTAACCTCTGGCCATCATCTGATATCTATTGTATGGCAAATATGTTAGCTGTTGATAATTGTGTTATTTTGATCCTGAGAATGATTGCTTGTGTCTGCTGAACCCGAGTTTCACTACCTGTTCCAGGGATTGAACACGGACACATACTTTAGCCAACTCCTAGGTCCATTATGCCATTGTTCCGAAGGACATCAATTGTGTTTTTTGGAGCCTTTTTATATTCGATATCAGATGGTGACGGCATTTGGTTATTATGATGTGTTCGTATGATCTTGATCGCTTATTTTATGTTTTATTATAAATTAGAATAACACTAGATATAATGTAATTGTATTTTAAGGATTATATCTATCTGGAAAGTGCGACACTTAGATCCGAAGGCGTGGTCTGGATGGCCAAAGATACATTGCAAAATCCAAGAAGAGTAGAGAGAGAGAGAGAGAGAGAGAGAGAGAGAGAGAGAGAGATAGAAAAATAGCTG